AGCAGAACCACGTCTTCATTATCTTCATAGCTTTGTAACACACTGAAGTAAAGCTTTAGAAGGCCTCCAAAGCTTAACCATAAAGTCACGATCAGAACCTCTTGAACTAACGTTCCTAAGACATGTTGCAGAAGACGTATTCAGAATCTTGACTTCAATTGTAACATACAATCAAATGTTTTCTTCCATTAGTGTATGTTCAGAACCTGATGATGTCACACGCTTTGATATCAGAGTCAGAATATTACAGCAGTAGCTACACACTAGAACAAACCATTATAGTATACAATTATTCTTACAAGTTGCTGGTATATGTGGACATGATCTTGTTTGCTTGATAGTTCCTCATTTAGGTGGGCTTATTTTGTCTATCGGTTAATTTTTGTTATCCGTTAGGGTGATGTTATGTTTTTTGCCACAATTATACCAAAGGGGTCAATTTTGACGTGTATTCCTTTTGTGCCATAACACCTTTGTCGGCATTAGCCCAAGGCGAGTGAGGCTATCGCCTTAGGCCTCAAATTTTTGGACCTTTAAAATAGGCCTCTAATGTTGGAAAAAAGACCTCAACTTTTGTATAATAAATAAACGTTTCATAAAATAATATAGAAAGATCAATGGCTTTATGGCAAAATATCATGACAATTAGCTTGTTCACATGCGTTCAAATCCTGTTGAAACTATTTTGTATAATAGCAATGTTGTATTATCACCAACATTTTGATTTGCTTGTCCAAAACAAAAAATTCACCAACCAATTTCTTAAATTCTTGCACATTTCATTCTTATTTGTTCTTTAAAAACCAAATTCTATAACTATTTATGCAACAAAAAATTAATAATACAATAATAATAATAATAATAAAACTATATATATATATATATATATATATATATATATATATATATATATATATATATATATATATATATATATATATATATATATATATATATATATATATATATATATATATATATATATATATATATATATATATATATATATATATATATATATATATAATATGATTTAAAAAATTTTAAAAATAATTTATATTAAATTTTGTCTTAGGCTTCTCAATTCCTTGGGCCGACCCTAGCATTCCTTATGCCTTAGTTTAATATATTGGAAATATTTTTCTCCACCCTTACACCTTCTTAGCCACTTCTGACGAAATTTCATTTTTACCCTCAAAATTTGGAGATGGGTCTCCAAACGCATCAGAGTTCATTTTTTCTGGGGTTATTTCAAAGATATATTTCCGAAATACTTTTTTCTCAAAATCAGGGGTGTTTCAGAGATGCATCTCTGAAGTAGGGCATTACATAAACAAATACGAACAACCATCTCTTATTCTTATTTCTTCCAAAATTTAACTATCAAACACTCAAAAACCTCCAAAAATCTCTACTTTTAAAAACTCATTCAAGTTGATGTATTTATTTGCACTTATTATAACTCAATCCAACTCTCAATTTCAACAAATTTTAAAAACTCTAAAAGCTTCAAATTTGAGTAAGTTCTCTAATCCATTTTAATCTTTGCATTTGTATTTTAAGTTGTTTAGATTATGTATAATCTGTAAAAAAACTTGCTTTTATGTGTAAAAATTGGATTTTGGTGTAAAAATGGTGTTATTAGGTTCAAGTTTTGGGTATGGAGTCGTAGGTTTTTTCGGAGATACATCTCTGAAAACCCCTCTGAGGTGTTTTGGAGATGCATCTCCGAAAAAAGGCTTGTGTTTAATTTTTTTTTTAAGTTTCAAAGATGTTCTTGTTAGTTCACTTACCTTTGATTTGATTAATGATTATTTGTTTTTCCAGAATAATGGTAAAGAATCCCAACAAATCGAGACTTGGTAGGCCTAGCCAAACTGCATCCGCTCGACGAGAGAGAGCTGAGCAGACTACGAGTCGTCGAGGACGCGGTCGGGTATTATGGGTGTAAGTGGAGAGAACATCGATTCTGCTCCAAGGAGTCGACTTTCACATGTGTTCTCGTCTAGGGATTGTGAGGAGGAGGAACCCGAAATGGAGTTTGTTCTGGAACTCGAGGAGGAGGCTAACCCGGGTTTTGCAGGAGGGATATATGACACCTCCCTCTTGATCTATTACACCGATCATGTCGCTCGATATGTTTCAAAGAGACATGTATATTTATTTTTGTTACGTTTTTCCTTTTAATGATTTACGCATTAATATGTTAAAATTGATATTAATTATTTATCTTTACAATAACGGCAGCCACTAAAGTGCGTGAACCACGCGCGAAAGATATCTGAGCTGCATCATCCTGATGAGGATTGGTTCAGAGAGGTCGTTTTTGACTCCGGACTTGTCGGCCTTTGTTGTTCTGGTTATATCACCATCAGCCACGACATGTACGGGGCATTTGTGGAGAGGTGGAACAAGGAAACGTCCTTTTTCCACTTTCATGTTGGAGAGATGACGATCACACTCGATAACGTCGCTGGCCTGCTACACCTTCCTATGAGAGGGAGGTTACTTAACCACTCTCAGATCGATCATAATGATGTGATTGAATGGATGGTCAACTATCTGTGAGCTGACCCAGAAGAGGCATTTAAGCAGTGTTCCTCCACCAATAGGGCTCATGTCAAATTCTTATTTCTTAATATGCTATACCACCAACACCTCTCTGCGGAAATTGATTCCCAATCTGAGGGAGACAACTTCCTTATTCTTTATCACCGTTAGTGTGCTCTGAGGTGTTACTTCACGTTCTTTGTTGACACGTCTATTTTTGTGGGTAAAAGTGCCAACTACATGGATTTAGCATACCTCCAGTACTCCATGGATTTGGATAGGGTGAGGGATTGGAACTGGGGGCCCGGCTGTTTGGTATACTTATACCAAAAGCTGAATGAAGGACATAGCAGCTGATAGGCTCTGCTACACTGCTGACGGGAATTATCATTTCAACTATTAAATTTAATTTGCTATTAATAATTATCGTTTGTTCTTACATGAATGTTATTCATTTTTCAGGGCTGGATCATTTCTCACTTCCACTGTATCCATGGTTTCGATTATGCTCTTGATTATAGTGAGGACATGTCGATGGCTGCTTGGTATGCCCCCCACATAAGGAACTAGGATGTGTCGCCTTTCCGGGTGTATCTGGATAGGACTGTCCATGATGGCATCCAATGGACGTCGTTCGGGAATCACCGGCAGATTATCCAGTTCGACTCCATCTCAATATACTCTGGGTGGCTGGCATGTGGGACTAACACTATGGTCAGGTATCTGCGGAGCGAGGCATGTGGTAGTTTGGATATGTGCAGACCTTACCATGATCTCCCTTTGAGGCTACTCCGACAACATTGTCCGTCGGGAGCTCGATGGCATCTTCCAGGATTAGGGAGAATCATATGGTTCCTGAGAAGGATCGAATGTTGCAGGCAACTAGCAATTGACACTGTATTGAGGGATACGTGACATGGTTATACATAGTGTCACATCCTGTCATGACACTGTATGCTCTTGGACGTCCACCTAGGTCAGCTCATGAAGAGATTTTAGAGAACCAACAGGCCGAGGATGACCATGTCATTAATCTCTTACCGATTTGTCACCTGATACAGATGATTGAGTGGGAGGCTTTGGACATAGGTATTATTGACCGGGGCGGTCCTGAGGTGGTGGTCATTGTAGAGCAGATGGTTGGGGAGGCAAAGAGTGCAGCGGGATAGAGTAGACAGAGGAGGAGTTAGAGAGTGAGGATCAGGCATACCCCGTAGGCTATGCTCTTTTTATGCTTTTTTTTTCAGAACATTTTATGAATAATTATTGTATTGTTTTTTATTATAAAAAACTTATTGTGTCTTTTATCGTTATTTATGTCTTATCATTTTTAATTTGCATTTTTATTATCGTTTTCATCTAATTATTTATCAATACATTGATGATTTAAAAAAAATCATTGTCTAGGATTTCAGATATGCATCTCTGAAAGAATCAAATCAGTGTGTTTCAGAGATGCATCTCCGAAAATATCCTTGCACATTTAAATATAACGTCCAAGTCAAAACAGATTATTTTCAGAAATATATCTTCGAAACATCTTGATTTAGGATGCGTTCGGAGCTGTATCTCTAAAAAGTATTTTTAGTTTTCGGAAATTTTCCCCCACCAATAATAGGTGTACAAAGAAATTTCCTAATATATTTCTCTTTTTGCTCTTAAAAAAAACTGCTAGATTCATGATAAATTTCTCAACCATAGATTCTAGGCAGGATAAGATTGTTGACGCAATAGCCGGTGATGGACCGTTATACACATTTTTAGACTAGAAAATGTTGGTATATCCAGAATTTATGACTTGGTTGACCGGTGGATTAGACATGTGGACAAACACAAGTGACAACCCAAAACTTCATATTTTTGTTACATACCTCCACTCACCTTAATATAAAATAACCTAATTTTCCAAGAATTGGAATTGCAATGGCAGGTAGAAAATAATCCTATGAATGTGTATTTTGACTTGCATGACATGGTAATCAATTTTGAATGAATGAATTTTTAATTTTGAAATAAAATGATTTATTATGTTTGAATATATTTATAAAATTGAGTTAAATAATAAATTCAAATGTAACTATCACGTTTATACTAAAAAAAACCCATATATTTGGTTTTATATTTATGTAAAGTATAATTTCTTTTGTTATTAAAATTTAATTATATATGAGTTTAGTATTTGTAACTTTTGAATCCGAACATAAATCACTTTCGATAATCAGTTTTAGTTAATTAAACTTTCATTGAGGTAAGAATACAACATTCCAGTACAACAATTTTAGTCAATAAACATAACCACTTTTGTTTAATAACTCAACAATTTCTTACATCCCAACTCATGGGTAAGACTTTCATTGAACTAACAATACAACATTGATTCTAGTACAAGAATTTTATTGGATATATGTGTAAACTTATTTTCATAAAAAATGTATACAAATCAAACTCCATTATGAATTTTCATGTGGCAATTCAAAGGCTTCCTTCACCATCCTCTTTGATCCTTCTTGGTTGAAGAATTCTTCAAGAAACTCCGAGAAACGATAATTTCTATACTTGGGAGGATGTTCTTCATCTATAAGTTCTTGAATTGGACCAATCGTGGTGTCTACGTTTGGTCCAAAAAACATCGCCATCGACAGTCGTGGACTCACATTGTTAGTTACAGCCCTATGAAGTACACTCTTGTATCTTCCATTGCTCAGAACCTATATATCAAGTTACAAATTATATATGCTAACCCTTGTTTAAAGTGATTTCTCAAATTTGTATAAAGGTTTTAGGTACATACCTGAATTTGATCGGCTAGATTAATGACAAAAGCATTAGGAATAAAAGGTACAGAAATCCATTTTCCATCTTTGTTAACTTGTAGACCAGAAATTTCTGATTGCAATACCACAGTGAGAGCATTGAAATCAGTATGCTCGGTTAGACCCATGGTTAACTCCGGATCTGGACACGGTGGATAGAAGTTCGCCTGTGCTCTTTGTCTAGGCTGTTCACCTAACTTCTTCAACAAACAATCCTCCTCTAAGCCAAGTCCTATTGATATCAAACCTAATAGCCTTCTCACCAATGAACCAATCTCCTTTGCATATTCAGTTAAAGCTTCTCTGCGAAAAGCGTAAAAAAAAACTATGTTTGGTTCTATAGAAACAAGACTAGAAACAAGGCAAGAAACAATTTGAAATTTGCACACCTGTATTGAGTTCTAATTTTTTCTGGTAGAAGAGAAACTGTATCATCAATAAGATACCATGGATGACTAAAACATTCACTCCAGCACTTGACTTTTTCTCCATCTTCCACTTTAAGGTAATAGTTGAGCAATCTTACACTCTTGGTATGATCTGTTGAATAGAGACTCTCTCTTTCCTCTGATGGCAGTTCAAAAAAGTCAGTAATTGCTTTCATCATTTTATGGCAAGCTTGTTGAGGAACACCATGGTTCACTATTTGAAAGAAACCAAATTCCTCACAAGCCTTTGAAATCTTGTGAATCACTTCCAAGGATGAGTGGTTCTTGTCATGACAGTAACTCAAATCAATTATGGGGATTGAGTCTAGAGATTTAACCTCTGAGAGGTTTGGTCTTTTGCTTTCTGGAAAGATGAATTTGGGAGTTAGAGAAAGGGGAGAAGACTCTTTGGCTAATTCGAATGACTTCATCTTGTCAGAATTTTTGAGATCTGAGTTCATTCAACAAACAAAAAGGAAATATTAAAGAGTTTATTTTTTTTTTATAAAAATTAAAAGTCAAATTTAAGATATTTATAAAGATAAAAAATATATATTTAATCAAATATTAAATATAAACTCTAGAAATACAATTATTGACGTTATCTCTTATTAAGTTTTTTTTTTAAATTTATAATACGTACATGCTTGCTAACCGGATGATAATTAATTATTATAGTTATCGATAGATTATTGGTTTTAGTTTAATGGACATATACTATTAGTGTAAAAAATCTTCATATTATTCAATAAGAAATCATGAATTTACTAAGTTATTTAAGTTTTTTTTTTAATTATTAGTATGATAAGGTGAAATGCCCGTCGTTTGTTGGATATTTTACATAGTTGATACATCTTCTATTTTCTTTATTGGTTTTGATTAAATTATGTCAGGCTTGCTATTGTAAAATTTTATAAATCATTTTAATAAACATAGTCAAAGAGAAATAAAATATAGTTTATAGTATCGTGCAGGGCGCATTACCAGACCATCCGAATTTATAAATCCAAAAGCTTAACATTATATAACAAGTTACATGTATGGAGGTAGAGAAACTCAACAAATTACATATATTTCATATTCAACGTGTGTATGATGTTAGACATAGATGATACAGGTATTTATTTATATTCAATAATTTCATTTTTTTTCTTTCAAATTATTGTTGCTATTGAGGTTTTTTTCTCAGTGTTAGTAATGTTCAAAAAATTTATTTTAAATCTATTGAATTTCTACAAGAGAATAATAAATCGTTCCTAAATCTATTAAATTAAACAATCATCACATTAAAATATTTTTTATTTAAAATCGGTCTATCAGTTATATGAGTTTTTTTACAAACAAGAACTTAACTTATATCATTAAGCAAAATAGTTTCAATATAAGGAGGAACTATATCAAATAAATTACGTCTAGTTCAAGAATGAGCCGCCATAATTATAGAATGGACAATCAAATTTGTTTGGTGTTTGACAAACTTAACTTCAAAGTTAGGACAAAAAAACAGTAAATTTTGAATAGAAGAGATAATAAAACTAAACTCGAGGAAACCATTACGATTGGTACTAATTGCTTGAGCAACTCTCTGGGAGTCGATTTCAAAGACAACATTCTCTAAGTTTAAATCCATAGCATTTTGAATAGCTTCTTTAAGGGCCATAACTTCCGCTTCAAGAATTGGATAGAGACAAAAGTCTCAAGCTGCCCCTGCAAAAACAAAAATACCCAAATTGTCTCTCACACCATCCTCTATTAGTAGTATCCCGGTGAATGCTAAAATCCGCTTCAATATTGCATTTCAATCTACCTTCCGATGGCGGGCTCCGCCTCAGACTATCAATGTGGGGTTGTTCGCTAACAGTGCTTTCTTGAACCGTGTACCACTCTTGCCAACTATAATAAGCATGCAAACTGAGTTTAGAAGAATCATCTTTCTCATTATTCTAGATCAAATTATTTCTATTTTTCCACATAACATCAATTCTAACAATCACTCTTCCCGTAGTCATTTTATCCTCCTTACTACAAATATCCAGAATTAAGGATATATCGTCATCAAAAGAATTTAAAGGGGGGGGTCAATAATATGCCACAAACCTGCTGCCCTTCAACAATGGATTGTAGCATCACAACCAAATAAGATATGCCACGAATCCTCTAGAGTGTGCTCATAAAATGGACAATCAAGCAGACACGAAACATGGTGTTGCTGCAGCCTCACTCTGGTCAGAAGACAATCTCTACAAAGACGCCACATCAAATGTTTTACTCTAGGCGGTGCCTTGATATTCCAAATACTACACCAATCCCCACTCACACCAATAAAACCCAACCGCCCTTGCTTTTTTCTCCACAACCTATAGCTTGACCGCACACTATAACACCTGTTTTGTTCCTCCTTCCAATTCCACTTGTCTTTAACAACATCTTCAACTAGGGGAACCTGAAGAATGTCCTCCACCACTATATAATCAAACAACTCTCTAATTAACTGAACATTCCAATATTTACCATTAGGAGAAAAAAGCTCGCTAACAGTAATGTCATACGCACCTTATCTCTGTGGCCCTTTCAAACTACATTCAGCTTCCCCCCTAAGCCAAGGCGCATGCATGACTGGAATGTTCCTCCCATCACCAATGCTCCACCTGCAACCAATAGTTAGGACTTTCCTAGCTTGCCAAATACGTCGCCAGGAAAAACTAAGATTATTACCCAAATTTGCTTCAAGAAAATTTGTTCCAGTAAAGTACCTTGCTTTATAGATTCTAGCAACTAAAGAGTGAGGCTTAGTCAAAAGACGCCACCCTCTTTTTGCCACCATTTCCAAATTAAAAGCCTGGAGATCTCGAAATCCAAGCCCCCCTCGTTCTTTGTACCTGTCACCTTATCCCACGACATCCACCTGATACCACTATTATTACTACCTCCTCCCCACCAAAAAGAATTTAGCATCTTTTCAATATCATCCACAATCCCATCAAGGAAAATAAAAAGGCTCGTGATATAATTCAGTACAGATTGGAGCATCGACTTTATCATCACCTCATTACCCGCTTTAGATAACGGTCTACTCCGCCAAGAGTTGATCTTCTTCCAGACCCTATCCTTCACATAAGCAAATGTGGCCTTCTTACTACGACCTATAAGAGACAGAAGTCCCAGATAGGTTCCTATACTGAGAACATGTCGAACTCCCATTATGGGTTAGTTATTGAGTTATATTATCGTGAAGCAACCGGCTGAAAATCATCAAACAATGAAGTCGACATCGAACGTCTTTTATCCCATAGGAAGGGATAGGTAAACATCGAAAAACCTAAGAAGGGAGAAGTCATGGTCTTGCGACCGAGAGATCGAGTACGGGAGTTTGTTATACGAGGGGAAGGTATTAGCACCCCACACGCCCGTAGTACTCTACGGTATTCACTTTTCTTATCTATCTTATGGGTGTGCTTAATCTATATCTACTGCTTACTACTGAGGAAAAATGCATGCAAAAGAAAGGAGAATATAGTGTAGGGAAAATAAAGTTGTGCTCACTTAGGCCATACCCCAATGCCTACTTATCCTTTTTAAGGAATTAGAGTTATCATAGTTCGGCTCACATGTTTTTGTTTGTTTTGTATATTTTTATGAACATTATTAATTTTTCCTTCTGCCGCAGCTCGACCTTTGGAGACACACGCGTTAGCACATAAGTAAATTAACATGTCTGTTATACCCCAAAATTTTCCCTCCCATATTCCTCAAGAAATTGCCAAGCCAAGCTACAAAATTCCCCAAGGGTTGTGCAGTGCAACAGACCTCCTAAACAGTCAAAATTAGGGTTTTAAGTCTGATCAAGAAAAGGAAGTGTTCAAAGACCCAATCAAGTCTCATATGCTTACAAACATGGTCAAGCATCCTCATATCAAGTTTCAAGGCATTCAGCTCAAGATTGCACAGTCAAAACCCTAAATTGCACTACAGTCAACTGTAGGGGCAAAATGGTCATTTGGCAGTCAAAAGTTCAAATTTTTGGTCAAAATATCATTTTGAAGCCACAAACATCATTTGATCAATGCTTGATCATGATTCTCAAAATTTGGCTCAGAAATCATCAAAGATGCAAAAGTTGCTATATTTGGACAGCTGAAAAAGTCAACTGAAATTGACCAGGGCATAACTTTCACATGGATTATCAGAAAAATTCCATCCAAAGCTCATTTTGAAGAGAAAGACATTTCCTACAACTCATCTTCATACATCAAGTCCAAGAAATGCTCTCACAAAAAGTTATCAATTTCAACATTATAGGTCATTTTCAAAAGTCAACAAAAAGGGACTTTAAGTCAAAGGCCATAACTTGAGATTGGAAAATCAAAATGACATGGGACCAAAGGCATTGGTTAAAGGACTCAAAGACCTTTCCAAAATGTCCAAGAACATGAGAAAATCTTAAAAATTGAGCAAGTTATGCCTTGTAGAAGTTGGGAAATTTTTGTGAAATGGTAAAAGTCAACTATCCTTGAAACTCCAATTTTTGACAAAAGGGCCCACTTTCTTCCACTTGATTCATCCTTGTCATGCCACACACGTGTCCCATGATTAATTTCAAGACCAAATATTGATTTTTCTATTTTATTTAATTTTTGATAATTTAATTCATTTTAAATCTTTAAAAATTCAAATAAAATTCAAAAAACCAATGGAATAGTGTTATTTGAATTTGGACAACTTCCATATATCATGGGCCAACTCAAAAACTCAGGCTAGGGTTAAATTGCACACTAAGTCTTGGTCTTGGCTAAAAAGAAGGAAAAGTTTGTTAATGAAAAAGACCTAAGACCAATTCTCTCATGGGCATGGATAAAGGCCAACTAATGACCTAATTTCCTTCCATCATAAGCACTGAGTCAAACCCTAAGCCTTGGACACTCTAAGCTGCGCCTCAAGAGCCATTGGAACATTGAAATTTTTCCATAAAAACTCAAATCTGAAATCAACCTTAGAGGAGGATTGAAGCCCTAAGTCTTATTCCAATAGCTTCCTTGACTAATTCTGAACGTGTACCAATCACAAACAACAAGCCAAAACGCCTGGAACCGGTATCATGAACTCAAACAGTTTCCAGAAAAATGCATGATCGTGTTCCATGTTTAAGGCATTCTCATTGTTTTTTATTGATGCATTCATACTAATAAGCATATTCTTAAGCTAACCATGTGATCCAATTTTGTTTTCGTGCCGTATATGGATGTTTACCATTGTTAATTTTTTAGGGTTCATAAAGCTCAGAATTAGGGCTTTTCAATTGAAGAAAAATTAGCTTTCCAGACTTAGACCATTCAAACCGGCACACTTCAACGAACAAGAATCCGTCATCGCGATTAATTTATAGGGCCTCAGGGCCTAATCGTTATTTTCTCGTATGCCACTTTCTGCAACG